CCCCCCTCCACCAAAATCACACACATCTTGGAGAACCACATCCTTGAACTCAACATCAATATTTTCTTAGAGACAGAAAAATTTGAGAGCTAGGTGGGATTTTAGAGAGCACACAGTTCAAGCCTTTATTTTATAGAAAACTGAGATTCAGTGTGCGGACTTTCCCAGTTCACTCAGCAGAGGCAGACCTATGGAATAGGTAAGCCCTGGTGGTTCTGTCTTCCAAGTCTGGAGCACATTAATGCCACCCAAGATTCTATTCAAGTCAACACACAGCGTATGAGCAGCTTCTGAATGCAGTCTGCAGTAGGTGCTATGGTGCAGTGATATGGTGAACACAGCCTGTCTCCATGGATGCCTTGAAATAAGTCTGAGATGGGGGTTGAACTACGAGTATGACAAAGGATTCGGCCATTCCCAGTTTCACCCTATGCCCTTGCTGGAAGCAGTGACTGCTCTGACAAATAAACATTTTCCTGTGTCTCAAAGCAAGCCTCCTTCTCCCGTATTGCTGACACATCCACAACAAGGACTGTGTGTAGTGAAGTTAACATCCCTAGAATATTCTGGAAGCTGCTTTTTGGCAGCAGTCAGAAAGCACTTTTCATAGCCTAAGTCACCAGTGAAACAAAACAATGCTCATCATTCTAATACAAGACAATATCAAAATTTCAACTCAATCAACATTCCCTATTTTATTATACAAAATAAAACCCATTCTATTGTCAACATGTATTAGAAATTAGTGCATTGGAGAGACCTGGAAGTCTTCAATTTTCTATGTCTCAAGTATAGGACGCCTCACAGATACTGCGGGTTTAGTTCCAGACCACTACAATAAAGTGATTATCACAATAAAGCGAGTCACATGAATTTTTTGGTTTCCCAGTGCATACAGAAGTTATGTTTCTATTATACTGTAGTCTATTCAATGTGCAATAGCATTATGTCTAAAAACACACTGTACACATCTTGATTAAACATACTTTATTGCTAAAAAATGTTAACAATGACCTGAGCCTTCGGTGAGTCTATTTAATCTATTTTCTGATGGAGGGTTTTACCTTCACTTTGTAAAAAACAAAACAAAACAAAAAAAAACCACACACACAAAAACAAAAAACCTCCCAAAAACAAAAACCCCACAATATGCAATAAGGCAAAGTGCAATAAAATGAGGTATGTCTGTATCACTTTAAAAAATAATGCAAACTTTTAAACATGGATGTAGAAAAAAGTCTTTTAACGTTCATGCTCCATCCTATTAAAGAGACTTTTAACACTGGCATTTATTTGGTACTTACGTCAATCTTTATTTTAGGTAGTTTTTGTTTTAAGTAGTGGGAGACATTCAGTTTTCTTTAAAGCGGTAATCAGAAATAAAATGCTGTTAGGTATTCTCATCTCCTGTTTAAAACACCTCCTCCTCGGAACACACCACTCCTAGAAGCCTTGAGGTCTGAATTCCACATTAGAAAGGGCAGCTGCAAAGAACCTGCCAAATTTGTGCCGCCAGCGTGCCTGACGAGTTCCCCTGGTGGGCGAGCACACTCCCTTCAGCATGACAGCGCACACAGAAAGAGCCATAAAACCATGATTGGAAAGGGCCATTGCCAGGACCCCACTTTTTTTTCGGAGTCATATTGGTATGTCTCCAGCTTTACTTAATTATTTAAAGATCACAACCTGAAACTCCTATACAGCGCTAAAGAGCTCAGAGTCATTTAGCACGTCTGGTAGACACCTTGCTGATAACCCTCTTCCACCTTTCAGGTGCTGCTCCCACCCTGCCTCAGAAATCATCAAGACATGGCTTTCCAGCTTCCGAGAAGCAGCCTGTGGCTTTTAGGACATGGCTTTCTAATTTTCCAGAACTCTGACGTTACTGCTTCTGCTTAGTTCCGACCATCTGAAACATTTCTCCATTAAAACAAAGAGAAGGGAAAAAGAGCAAACCTCAAAGCAGACTGAGAAGACAAGCCCCCAACCATGAACAGTTGGAAAGGAAGAGAAATGAAGCGGGTACTCACACTCCAGCTGGCTTCCTGGAGGCAGAAGGCACTGACTGATAAAGGCCGGCTGGGCTCTCCTGAAAGGGAGATTGTTTAGGAGGAGGCAGTGCTGGGAGGGAGGCACCTAACAGTTTTATACTCAGAACCCCACTGCATATCCGTGCGCTTGGCTCTCTCCTCCCACTTCAGGCACCAGTGCCAAAGCATTGCTGAGAAACTGGTCCCCGTCCCCTGTCCTGCACCTGATCTCTCTCTCTCTCTCTCTCTCTCTCTNTTTCCGGTACGTGTGCTGGATGTGCTTCATGCTGGACACAATCTCTCTGTTCACTAGGAAAGAGATCTTTATCTGGCACTCCGCATGCCCCTTCAGCACAAATGACTGCTTCTTGAAGCTCTCCAGGTCTCCTGTCAGGTCCAGCTCTGGGGTCCTGGGGCAGTGCTACACACCTGGGTTGGGCGGGTCACAACAACGTTGGGGACGTTGGGGTTGGCTGAGCCGGCCTCATGGCCCAGCAGGGCCTCCTTGACCTTGCGCAGGCTCTCGTTGTCCCTGTCCAGCTCCTGGATCTCCTGGATGCTTTTCTGGGCCGGGGGCTTGTAGTTGACCAAGTGCTCATCCTTCTGGTTCTTGGCTGCAATCTTCGCCAGCTGCTCAGCTGTGGGTTCCTGCTCTGCCATGCGCACCTCTAGCTGGATTGGGGACACCGTAGGCTCCACCGCGCTGTGCTCGTGTTCCCTCCCACATGAAATGACGAACGTTGGTGCCCCGTGCGCGCGCCCTGCAGGCCACTTCCGGCATCCCCTCAGGCATTCTTTATTTTTGGAATTTTGTTATTTAAATGTTTTTAAATAGGCAAGAATAACATTACACAAAAGTATAGAAACGGGGAAAAGTGGAAGTGGATCGAGCTGCTGAAAACCCAAGAGTTGTAATCTAAGAATTGTACAATATAAGAATGTATAGGGCATGATTATAGTAAACACGCTTCAGGAAAATACTAACAACATAACCGCTGACTTGTGTGCACTATGAGACTCTTCACTTCTCATACTGCAGAATAGGAAAGCACCAGCATCACCAGTATGGTACTCTGCAGACAAAAATGGTCTCATGGTGAGACCACAAAAGAAGAATACCAACGATATAATCCCAGAGGTTGGCAAAGGGAGAAAGACAATGGCGCACTGAACGTGCAAGAAAAGCCAAGAGCACAGCCAGGTAATTCTGAAGTAGGGGAGCACCAACACCATCAGACCCCAGAAGGCATAATTGTGGAATGTTGAAGCCACAGGCACATAAGATGTGACCAAGACAATACCCCAAGCCCATGCACCAAAACCCCCATCTTACCTCCCCGTGGCCATGCTGTGGATAACTGTGAATAAGAGGTCCTCACAGCTATTTTTGGCCCCATCATCCCATTCACCATAACCAACAAATAGCTATTATTGGATAATAAATCTAGGCCTTTTTTTCCCCCCCAATCCTCACTCTAGTTTTGCCTTCTATTAATCCTAGTATGGAAATCAATGTGAGTACCTGACTTTTTATTAAGTAACAATTACACTTTGTTTTATTTTACTGCCCAACTAACCGTCCTGCTTTTAAACAATGGGGGATCATTAATCATGACACAGAGTAGAAGGTATTTTTGGAATGCATTCTAGGCTAAGATCATTTTGTCTTGACAAAATAATGTTAGACTCTAGCATGTATGAACTCTTCATGCACCTCTGTATTAAGAAATTCTTAAGTTGAAAAATGCTGGAGGTCAGGAGCCAAAACTAAGTCTATATGGAGCTCACTGGCCCCATAGTTAAACATGTAAAACTGAATTATTAATGATGAAAAATTGCCTTTTATTTCATAATCTAGGTGATAGCTATCATTTATTTTCAAATATCTCCCCCTTTAAACGTCATAACTGAAAATATTGCAGGACTAGCCCCTTCCTCAGCTATAGTGACTCATTTTCAAAGTCATGCCAACTTATCAGTGTCATCAGTCTTCAGCCCAGGCAATGACAAGGAGCTCAGGCACAACCGCCTTGAGTTGCTATAAGTGAGCTTCTACAGAGGCAGCATTGAATGAAAACATTAAAGTGCCATTTTCCATTAAGTAAAGAAATAATTAGGTATATGGGTTGTTCCAGGGCGAACAAATTCATGTTCTCAAAATTTCCAGCCTATATTTATGTGTTTTAGAGGGATTTAAATACACCGTCACCTCAGAGATTTTGGAGATACAGATACGAAACCTGTTCTTATAACTGGCCCGACGTGACTGGGAACCTGAATGACCTGAGTTCCCTGTGGAGCCACCCAAAGTTAAATAAAGACTGAGCTTTTTTGGTTTGAATCCCTAGCCCAACATAAAGAAGGCTCAATGCCATATGTCTCTCAAGTATCCACATATTGGGATGGGTGGATGCGTTTCTTTAGGGAACTTGAAGAATCCACACATCTTAATCGGGAGGGCGATGCAAGGTGATGGATCAGGGACCTTCTGCTGATGCTCAAACTTCTCAAGTCCAACTCAGCAGGCCATTAAATATCAACCAAAAAGACAGGACAAGAAAATGAAAGAAAGAAACCCTAATGAAATAGAAGCAGGATAAATTAAACTCCCCAGACTACTTTTTCCTAGTGTTTCCCACGGTTATCAAAACACTGCAGCTCAATCATCCAGCGTCTAAACCAAGACGTGTGCCATGTGATTTTCTGGACCAAGCACCCCCGTGCATCTGGTCAGCCCAAGCTGCACCACTCAGTAGAGCATGAGGACCCCATTTCCCAGGCTTTGTTCAGGAAAGACACACCACCAGAGCTTGGAGCACAGGTGCCGAGGTTCCCAGAGACAAAGGCTGCACGAAGGAGGCATACCTGTTCTGCCGGCCCATGAGCCAGGGCCAACTTTAGCTGGAGGGAGCCTCTGCGCGTTGCCTCACCAGCTTTATTTCCAAAAGGGTCCATCCGAAGAGGACCAGGAAGGGCGTCACCAGCACTGCCAATCAAAGACCATCCATTCATGACCTCTCCATACATGACAAAGGGCAAAAAATATATGAATTATCGGGACGTGCCCTGGCGCTGATGAACATGTGAACTGCAAGATGGAAGGAGGCAGGAGCGTACCCTTTGGGTTCTGGGGAGAGGAGATGTGTCTCCAGAATGAGACCTATAATGGAGAAGGCGGACTTCTCCATCAGCCAAGAGCTCGATCAGCAAAGAGAGACAATGAACTGACTACACAGACATTCAATGTTCATTTTAATTTGCTTAAAACAAACCAAAAAATGGTGGCAAACCATCCTGTGCAGAGACCAACACACAGATCTTGCTCTGCTGTGTTTTTCTACTAGCAGGAGGTTGGGATATCTGAAGCCTGTTCCAGGGGGAGGGCTGGGTTTCAGGCTCTGAAATACTTCAGGCAAACTGTTAAGGCTCCATCTTGGGGACTAATGTCAATGCAACAATTTCCCTCAGCCTTGTTCTTTACAAATGTGAGAAGAAGGTATGATGTGAACTCTATTTTTTATAATAATAAACTAGCCACACTTTTAATGTACAGCAAAAGTCCAGTGTAAGATACTCTAAATGGTATTTTCTTTCTTGTATCTGAATAATAGTTGTTAAATATTGGACATCACCTTGTTAATAATAAGCAGTTCTTAGTTGAATTTGACAAGTGTGGTAGCTTTTTATGTTTTCCTTTTTTTTAAAACTTCCATTGCATCCAAAGATATCATTCTTCCTTCAGAAATTCCAGAAAAGTTGTCTGTGTGGTATTTCTTTTTTTCGCTCCCTTTTATTTAATTTTTACTTTCTTCTGCTGGCGTGGTTTGAAACCTGAGAACTTACACTCTGCTAGAGTGACTCAGAACAATTCACAATTGTGGAAAATATTACTGTCATGTCTTGGGAAAAATTGTGTGCAAGTGTGTATTTATCTGTGGTCAAACTATCTGGCTAGTTAAGTACAAAAGTGATGTGTCTGTGGGTTATGGTATATATATTTTTGTTTGATAAAGAACATTAAGAAGCCCAATGGTAAGACTCTCATCTTATACACAGTTAAGAAAGAAAGAAAGAAAGAAAGAAAGAAAGAGGAAAGAGACAAGCAGGAACTGTCACATTTCCTCAGTAATGTTTACCGCTTCAACTCCTGCATGGTTCCTGCCTTTTCT